AGCTTGGGCAATTGAACGACTGGTGAAATTTGCATTTTTGAAACCCTCAACCACATCTTTTGATCAATTAATTCAAAACTGTTGATGTACCAAGCAAATTATATCTATGCAGTTTTAGAAGTTGAGTAAGCTTTTTAATATATTTAGTGCTGTAGTACTAGATTTAATTATTTTTTTAAATGTTAAGCCTGGTATTATTCATGAGAGGTATTGGAAATGATATAATGGAAGAAGCAAGGAAAGTGGAATCAAAAATGCAATATTTGCTTTTAAAGTTCTTGATGTATTTTAGGAGATTAAAACCGCTTTTGTTCTAAAGATCTAAAAGGCTTAATCCTCTTTGAGTCTCTATGTATTTTAAATCCTTCAATATTTATTTTTAGCTATGTTTATATTTTCCCCAGCAACAGATGAAACCCATGTAGTTGAGTATATTTGAGCTGCCACAGCATTATGTAACCGGATTTTCTCAGTTGAGGAGCTTTTTCCATCTTTTACCATTTTATGTGCGTGTGCATATGTGTGTGTGTGTGTGTGTGTGTGTGTATATATATATACTTCTGTCAAGTATATACATATATACACACACAGGTGTAATTGATGTAGTGCTCATTAAAATTCCTTTTACTTCTTATATAATGTAATCAACTTGGTTTCTCGAGAAAAATTATTAGTAATAGCTAATGACTAATTCTCCATCGCTTTTACAAACAATTATTTAGGTGGACCACTATTAACTTTATTTTACCAGTCCCTTGATAAGATATTCTCTTTGGTACTTGAATTGGTTTTATATTAAACTGTAACATTGGGAAAACATTTAAAGCTGGGGGATTCCTTTCATTTTAAAGATAAGAGTTTCTTGCCTTTGTATATTGATTGAGCTTAGGTATGAATATTGATCTGTGAAGCTGTGTGGTGGTTAACAATACACATTTAATGCATATTAAATCAACATCAGCATGTGTATATAATATAAAGCCTCACATGATTTGGCCACCTAAAAGACCACCTTATAATACTGTGTCAGGCAGATTAGGAAATCATCTAGAGTGCTTTGTTTATTGTTATCTGGGAGCCAAAGGATGAATATTCTCAGTCGAGGATTCTCAACTCTGGAAGTTGCTACTCTTTCAGTCTACCAGTATGGTAAAGCCCTAGTGTCCATCTGTCCATTTCAGTATTTGCCACATTGAAGGGATTGTGGAGATGTGAACAGAATGTTACTCTGGGATGATTCCATCTGTGTTGTGTTGTAGGGTCACCGCACCCTGGGTACCTCTTCGTGGTGGAGCATGGGGCTGTAGTCAGCGGCGGCTCCAAGCACCAGCGCTCTAAGCGCATGCCTGGGGTGGCAAGCCGCAGGGGGCGCCCTGCCGGTCCCTGCAAGGGCAGCAGTCAGGCAGCCTTCGGCAGCATGCCTGCAGGAGGTCCGCCAGTGCTGCGGATTCGGCAGCAATTCGGCTGCGGGTACGCCGAAGCCGCGGGACTGGCGAACCTCCCGCAGGCATGCCCCTGGCTGTAGTCTCACTGCCTTAGTTTCCCCAACAGGGTTTCCAGCCCACTCTGGAGTCATATGGCTCAGCCCTCTGGCCAGGTCACCATGAAAGCTCAATCCCCCACTTTTGGGCAGCAGAATTGAAAGTCCCAAAACAAACACATAATAAAAGAGTCTTTATCCCAGCTGGGCATAGTTCTCAGCCCCTCCGAGGTTATTTCTCTGCCTGCTCTCTGGACTCAGCTCTCAGACCCCACCATTTTTCTCATAGTGGGGCATCCCTTGCTGTGGCCTAGGTTAACACCATTGGTGGCTGCCTGATAAACTCAGATAGCTTGGTGTCAGGCCTGCCTTCCCTTCTGAGAGGCTCTGACCAGCCACAGTCCTACTCCATTCCTGACTCCAGATGGGTGAAAACGGTTAGTGTGCTCTCCTTCCTAGCCAGCTACAACTGAGTGAGCTCTTCCCTTTTTCAGCCCCTTCCTACAGGCCTGATGCCCACTAACAGTGGGAGGGCAGGCTGGTTATGCATGCTGCAGTTTAACTCTTTCCAGTCCATGTGGGATTTGTGTACCCTATGACTACTGATATTTGTCAACACATTAAATATATTCAATGTTTATTTACCTTTGTTTATTAAATTTGCAGAGATATTGTGAAGAGCTCATTTTATAAACCTCAAAATAAAAATATTACACTGTATGTAAATACCAGAATTACATTTTTATCACAGCATACAGTGAAAAATGATAATGGTACTATAGATGCAGTCATAATGCATCAGAATTCATATCTGTTTACATGAATTGAAGTAAAAAGCCCATCTTTTCCCTTATGAAAGAGTTAATAAAGAAAATTGATTAAATAATGAAATTGGCTTGTTAGGGCCTTCTCCTGCATTCCTCTTGCATCCAAAACTTGTACTGAAACAATATTTAGGGCCATTGATGTACTTGGCATCAGAGGTGGAGGTGGGAGGCAAAGGTGGCTTTAAGCCATCTTTACGTTCTCTGGACCTTGGGGCCATCTGACTGCTGAGTGGTCCATGACATACATTAGAGCAGCATCAAGGCTGCTCTAATTTAAATTGGTTATGAATGCCCCAACCATATCCCTTAACCAGGAGCCAGGAGAGGGTGGCATAGGAGCTGCTATGGATTGATGCTGCTCTACTTAGGAAGAATCTTCAGAGGGTTGGTTGTGCCATATTACAGCTGCTCTGCACCCGTGGAATAGTGCAAAACAAATGAAACAAGGTCAAGGATCTGACCTTTACTCTTTCTGGAAGAACAGGTTCAAACATATTCAAAATTTGCACAGCTGTTTATACTCAAGGTAGATAAACTGAAATTCCAGCAGTTTAGTATGTGGATTTTCCAAGCAAAATTTTAAAAACTGAAGCTTTGCGTGGATCTTTATGCAGAGGCAAGCCTCCCTGCCTAGTAGTTATAGTTTGTGGTGATAGCACCTCCTGGCAGTTACAGTGTGTGGCAACAGCACCTCCTAGTGATTGCAGTCTGTGGCGGCAGCCCTGCCTAGCAGTTATGAAGTAGGGAAAACCTGGGCCCTCCAACTCCACCATGTTACAACCCAAGGGGCCCTCTTGAGCGCTTTAATGCAGGAGTTATGTGTGGTCTGGCTAATGCTCTCCAAGGGCCTCTTCCTACTGCTTTTTCCTTCCCATGTCGTGGCTGGCAGTTGTCCCTGGCAGCCTGGTCCATGGGGCTCAGCAGGTTAGGGTGTCTCGACTCTGCAGCAGATCTGCTCCTGGGAATGCCTTCCTGGCATAATACCTCTGCAGCAGGGAATACAGGTCTGCCTCTTGCCACCTGCCCCCCTGCTGTGCTGAAGAGACTTCCTTTTAAGTCCCTCCTCCAACTGAAGCATGCCCAGCAGGCCTGTCAAGGCTTCCTGATCCCAGAGTTTTCCCACACTCTTAACTCTCCAGTGTGGGTTTATTCATGCCATCTTAAAAACACATGATATATTTTGCAGAAATATGTTGCTGTACCAAATTTCCCATGCCACACTGTTGGACAACATTCTGTATGCCTACTGGCTGCTATCCTCAATACTTCTGTTCCCACAGAGAGGCTGCTGAAATTCAGTGGTAGTGGCAGTATATAATTTGTGAATTGTTTTGGGATGTTATGTTGTTATGGTATGCTGCAGCCTGGCAGAATCATCACAGAAATGGGGACTGAACTACTGAGTGTCTCTTCACAAAAACTGGATATCATAATGGAAAATAAAAGGATGATATGTTTCTCTCAGGATGATCGATAAGTAAGATTTTTATAACTGGGTCTTGCTAAATTAGAACAAGTGTTTTACTAGAATATCTGTTAAGATATGATTTAGACAATTGACAATTGAAAGTAATGAATTTTACTTTACTGGAGTAATATTAACACAGAATCACTCAGTGCTGAATTTAGTTAAATACATGTAGTTAAATGGTGATTTAACCTGGTGTTAAATAGGTAAAAAACACATCAAGATTTGGGATTTTTAATTTACAAGGTAAAAATGAAGGTGTGCAGTTCCTTAGACTCCAGGGTCCTTCGTTATTTGGATGTTGTGGTTTCAGAAGCTTCATGTGAAGCGGCCACAAGAGGAAGCGACAGTCCAGATAGTTTCTGATTGTGGAACCTATAAATTGCATTGAAAGCCAGTAGAATCTGAAATTCCAGGACATTGTACATACTGCACTCTTAGGGACAATTCTTTTCAACAGTCATAGGAGACATACTAGTGCACTGATACTCAGATCTCAGTGGTTCAGGGGCCAAATTAGTGATCAGTACATCTCTACCCCGATATAACGTGACCCGATATAACACAAATTTGGATATAACGTGGTAAAGCAGCGCTCCGGGGAGGCGGGCTGTGCGCTTTGGCGGATCAAAGTGAGTTCGATATAACACGGTTTCACCTATAACGCGGTAAGATATTTTGGCTCCCGAGGACAGCGTTATATTGGGGTAAAGGTGTATTACCCCAAAGAGCCACAGGTATATGAATTCATAATTTCATTTACTATTTATATGTATTATTCTTAAAGCAAAATGACTGAACAACTATTCTACAATTGGCTAATAACATAGAACAAGCATCCTGATTGTTTAATAACTTAGATTGATTGATAATTCAATCACAATCACACAGTGTTTTAATACCATGTGCTGCAAAGAGACACAGGAAACACATTAAAGAGCCACTTCCGGCTCCCTGGCTTCAGTCTCAGTATCACTGTACTAGTTCATTTTCCAAGACATATATGGGTCACGTGTCCTTTTCAGGGCCCCTCCTGGGGCAAGTCAGATACTCTTCACTCCTTATTAAGGGTTTGGAGCAAAGACTTAATCTAGCCCAAAATGAGCAAAATAATTTCAGACTTTATTTATATTGTATTTTATCCATCAATGATTAGCTGAAAAGAAACATCAGAAAACAGAACACTAACTTATAACAGTAATTCAAACTTCTTTTTTTTTAACAGATCTTGATAATGTTGAAGGCATAGCAGTGGACTGGATTGGAAATAATTTGTACTGGACAAATGATGGCCACAGGAAAACAATTACTGTAGCCAGATTGGAGAAAGCCTCTCAAAGTCGAAAAATTTTGTTAGAGGGAGATATGTCTCATCCGAGAGGAATTGTCGTTGATCCTGTCAATGGGTATGAAGATGTTTAATTTATTTTACTAGTTTTATTTTACTAAATTTGTCTCCACTATGAATGCATTTAGGGTCAAATTCCCCTCTCTGACCAACACAGCTGCTCTTCAAAATTTGGGCTAAATTATGTATATTAAAGAAGGTAGCAGACCTGTGCATTAAGCATTTGATTCACTGGTATTCTGCTGTCTTCCAAAAAGCACAGGGGCCATGTCTCAATCTGCTCTCAATCTGACAGGTACAAATCCCATTGCTGTCTGTGGGAATTGCACACATGGATCAAGAACAAAATACAGTCTTAAATATTTTAATCCACACTTGTTTCTAAAACTGAGCATGGATTGGGTAAAAACAAACACTTTTCACAAAGCCTTACATTATTCATATTCCGCTATCTGAAAAGGACAGATCTAGAGCCAATTCAGTGAGCTTAACAATTGACTTTGAAAGGAATGACTTTAGTCTTCTCAGACATGCAACTAATAGGGCGTTATCTAGCTACCTACATATTTTCACATTTTCCAGCTAACTCTTTATCCAAATGGAACACATATATCATGTGTGTTTGTAATAGTTTATGTAGGACCTTTGGCCCTGAATTCGAAGAATGGGTTACACTGATCCACAAAGACAGTTTTTTTCATCTGTGAAAGATACAACTTTTGGTAATGGTCTTCCTAATACAGTACTTAACTGTCATAGAATGCCATTGGCATTTAACATTTTACGGAAAGGCATGACACTTACCATGAAATGGTGCAATACATATTAATCAGGTGTTTTTGTACTGTGTATTATATATTTACTCCTCTATATGAGGACATAGGCACTATATCAGAATTGCCATATGGATCTAACCCATGGTCCATCTAGTCTAGTATCGTGTCTCCAACAGTGGCCAGCACCAGATGCCTCAAAGGAAGTTGCAAGAATCCCACAATGAGCAGATGTGGGATAATTCCTATTAGTTAGAGATTGGCTTAATCCCTGAAGCATGAGGTTGTCCTTCTAAAACTCTCTGTATGCAGGAACTGTTATAATGCTATATATTCTTTTTATTTGTATAATTGTACCATCCCTCTTTGAATCTTACTAATTCTTGGCCTTAGCAGCATCATATGTGGAACATGATTGTAGCAGTCACAATTAGAATATGTTAAAATTGATATAAATTGGGCAAATGTATCACTATTCCGCTGTTACTGTAGCAGGCAGAGATCCTTTTAAATTCACTCAAGAAGATAATTTGCCACTTCAGTATTACTTAAATCTAACAATGAGGGAGACCATATACAGTTTTTTAATGCATTTTAAAGTTTTTTCTTTTTCTTTTTTTAAAGAATGGAGTAATCCTATACAACTTCAGATTTTTTACCAAAGAAGTAGAGATAACACTTGCAATAAATGTCATCTTACTACTACCCTATATTCTAGGGGACATACAGGTTACTAGGAATAAACAACAATGACAAAAACAAACAAGTATTGTTATAATGGTTTCAATAAAAACCATCTGCAGATATTTGGATGTGTCATGTGGATGCAGTACACTTGAAAAAGAAATTGCCATATATCAACCAAATTCGTATTTTAACACAACCTTTCCTCTCCCCTTCCTCAAATCTCAAGTTTATCTTATTGTACATCATAAAAGTGTACTTGGATACACTGTCTTAGTACATCCACAAGAGATAGATAATTTTCATTGCTGGCAAAATTATACAAAGTGGGCAAAATGACAAAAATGACCTTATGTTGATGTAATAGAAATTCAGTGTATCCATGACCCAGTTGGCAAGACTGTTTTATAAAGTATCACTGTGGAGTGAGTCATGTAGATAATTCTAGTTTGGCTGGGCTGATTGCTATATTCCTAACACTTGGATTTATTTACATTATCAGTTTTTCATTTCCAAGTTTGTCTTTTGAAGGAGGCAAACTATTATAGGAAGGCTATAATTAGTTTAAGTCATATGGTAGTGATGCAAATTAGACCCCAAATCATCCCAATACCTGAAATTATTTTGTCAAATTTTCCAGCTCACTGATTTCTATCAGTTAAACATGCAGCACAGGAGGGTATTGCATGAAGATGCATAGTCTGAGAAGGGATATCGTAGAGTGCTGTTTTCTAATAAAATAACACACACTTTCATGGTTATACTTCTTTATAAAAGTTGTCCTGAGGGAGAAGGTTTATTATGTCATTTTAATTATCTTCAGAATATTAGACTAGAAGATAAGCATTGCAAAAGCATTGCAAAGCAATAACTATATTTTGATATTCAATTAAAATACATGTTAATACAAATGTCATTCACTTTGGGCATGTTTTGATCTGATGGGAGATAGCTACAAAAAGCCGAGGCATAACGTTAAAAGAAAAAAAAAGTAATTGCCTTTTAACAAGTCATATAAATGTTTGCAAACTATATTGATTTATTGGGCCTTTCAGTACAGTAAGTAGTATATTGACCTAGTTATTTGCTTCAGTCTTAGAGAGCTGGTGCACAGGTTTCACTGATTCTATAGTGAAACTGAATGTGGTTCCAGTCAGATTTATAATGCAATGTATAAGCCCAGGGCATTGAATTTGGTTTTGTTCTTAGCATTAAATTAAAGCAATAAAAACCTTCCTTTTGTATTGTGAGCTGGAAGAGATAGAAAAGATGCAAGAAAACAGATGTTTACTTCTGTCATTTTTCAAAGCGATTAAAATTATCCTGTGTAAACCATGGCACATTTTTCATTTAATTTCTTACCAATATGTGATATAAAATAAAATAGATCAGTGATATTTATTCCATGTGACTGTGTTGAATAAAATGGTTGCCCAGAAGACCAGAGCATCATTTAAAACATTTGATGTAATCTCAGAAGATGCTAAATAGGTTTGATAACAAAAATATTGTTAATGAAACATTTCATAACCTTGCTGGAAATGTAGTGATTTAAGAGCTAAAATTCTTGGGCTTTACTCTTTAAAATACAGGTAAGAATTGGAGACATGATTCTGATCTCCCACCACTATAAATCAGAAGCAACTCCACTGTAGTTAGTGGAATTTCAATGACATAAAACTGCTGTGAGATCAGTATCAGCCGCACAAAGCCTAACAGAGTCTTGAAACAATTAATATTTATTAACATGTATTTAATATTTTTACTAATATAATCAGAATGGAATTCTGCAGATTTTAAGATCCAAATACCATGACATAGTTCCTAGAATACCCCTATTTGTGAGATTCCTGTCTTAGTACTTCTGGTATGTAAATCTAAAGAAGTATGACCAGCATATTAATTCTCTTACTTATATTCAATACTTCTTATTAAAAAGTTAACATTTGCCAATGGCTACCATACAGTGATACTGCAGATACCATAATTTCCCCTGTAATTATATACAAATAAAATTATGTTAAAAGAACATTATTAAGGTTGCAGAGTCAAGCACTCAAAAGTTAGGAAATGCCAGAATTAAGGGTGCCTCTGCAACCCCCTTGTGCGTATGCATTATGATGCCGTCTTTAATTACATAATTGTATACTATTTCTTCCACAAGATCCCTGCCTCATTCAGCAGACAGTGCTCAGTTATTTAGCAGCGGTTTAATATTTTGTTTTCTTCTCATTGTTCATTGTGTATCCCCATACCTTACTTCACATTATACAAACCCTGCTATGAAGACAGAGTTATTAATTTCCTCATGGCCTTTTCTGTGGCACTCATCACTATTGTATTTGAGTGCTTCAAAAACATTAATCAATTTATTTTCACTATACACTACACACTATACACTATAGCATTATCCATTTTACAGATTGGAAACTGATGCACAGAGAGATTAAGGTCAAAAGCATCCACTAATTTTGAGTGCCCAATTTGAGACGCCTAGAACCTGATTTTTTAGAATACTTAGCATAATAAAACATTTTGTATGTTCAATCACATTGACTTCAGTTGCAGCTATGAGTGCTCAGTACATTTTTAAATAGGACCCCAGGGTCTCAAGTCAGGCACCCAGAAAATTAGGGACATACAAAAAAAAGTTTGCTTTAAGTGACTCTCCTAGCCTCACATGGGAACTCTGTTACTGAGGGAGGAATAGAATCCAGTTCTTCTGGTCAGTATTCAACCGCTTAACCAAGAGATCATCCTTTCTCTTCCTCCAATACCGTGCCTCATTCACTGCACACCTTCCAACTTCTTCAGCAAATAAAGGAGTGCTCAACAACCTCCTTTGCTACTGAAATCTGAGTATATCCCCAGAGTAGGTCCATCCTGTGGACTGTAGTATTTGATTATGTAATTAGAGACTGCATATCATAATGCATATGCACAAGTTGCCAAATTAATGTTGGACAGGCAACCTTAAATGTGGCATTTCCTATCTCCAGTGCTTGACTTAATAATGTTCGTTTAACTTCTTTTCTTTCTTTTGTGAGTGTGTGTGTGCGCACGTGTGTGTAACATCCCAAGTGCTTAAAAAAGGCAAATTGAAAAATCAGAAATTCTATCATGTGGCATCTTTTTGCTACCTACATGTTTCAACAACAGGGTTGGACCTTTAGAGTCACCATTCAGACTTCTTCCACTTGAGCTAATGGAGTAACTGATAGCACTAGCAGACTGTCATCCTCTATGCGGACCAGTACTACAGAGGGATGGAAAAAATTGCCAGTGGGTTTCACAGACATTTGCTGACAGCAGAAAAATGTTGAGACTCAGGAATCTTGGGTTCCACCCCAGAAACTGGAGGATTGAGCACAGACACTTCTGCACATTCCCTGCAAGCGTGATCCCCTTCTGTCCCTTCCAACCTGTCCCTTTCCCAGTCCTGTCTCTTCCACCCTCTGGCTCTTCATCTCAATCCCATTATCTTCACCTAGCTAGTTCCACTATCCACTCCTCAAACCTCTCATCCCAATCCCAGTCTCTTTTCCCAGCAAGTTCTAGTCTCACCTCTCCAAAGGGAGTCTCCCCCTTCTAGTCCCAGTTGCTTGTCCTGTTCCCAGTTCGTTTCCTTGCTCAGCCATTCCCAGTTCTGCCCCTCCTGACTCCTCATCCAGTCTGTCTCCCCAACCCTGGCCTCCAGTCACCTTCACCGCTTCACCTACATTCTTTATCCACATAAACTCACAGTCCTAAACTCCCTCCCGGGGCTCCTCATCCAATCTCAGTGTGTCTTCTCCCAGCTCCTTGTCCCAATCTCTTTGTTCAGCCAATCTCGGTTCTCTCTCCTCACCCCAGTTCCTCGTCAGATCGATCATCCATCTCCTTCACTTATTTTCCTTCACCCAACTTGTTCTCAGTCTCAGTCTGTCCTCTGACTCCTTATTTGATCTTAGCATCCCTCTATCCTCTCTGCAGGTCCAGCTTTTGTCTCCTCTGCCTTCAACTCAGGCAGCCTCCTCCTCCAGTCTGCTTGTGCCCAATTGTGGGTGAGTGGCATAGACAGCATAGGAGAAACAGCCTCCTTGCTCTCACTTTAGATGTACAGACTCTGCATGACCCACAGCAGCTCAGTGCTGCAGTTTTAGGGAAAGTCTTGCTCAGCCCTGGGCTAGAGCATACTCAGTGCAGACAGAAATTTCAGGCAATTTAGCTGTTCTCTCCAGGACATGTGTGAATTGCAATTTTTAAAGGCTTATAATTTGGTCAAATTTGGGTGGATGTTCACAGGGACAACAAAAGGCACATCCCTGACACACAGGCTACACCATGTCAAATTTCAAGATTCTACTCCAAAGCATGGGAGCAGTAGGGCTTTTCAAAGAAAAGATTGACAGAATTTTTTAACATGGACAAAACATATATTCCCCTAACCTTGTTCTGAGAATTGGCTGCACTCATGGCAGAAATGTTCCCAAAACATTGAGCATGAGGCAGACATTCAGGATGGAAAATTTCAGTCCAAACTGTTAATATTTGACAATGTGTTAAGCAACTGAAAACAGGGTCTTACAATGAGAAGTGTCAAGCAACCTTAATAATAGTCAGTCCCATCCTATAATACCCGTGTGATATATTTTGGCAAATGTTCATTTTTTTTAATTGTAGCCACTTTATAAAACATGAATAGTTCCATACTTATCTATTTTTGTTTGATCCTCACATTAGAGGATCTTCAAAGCTCTCAAGAACTGTACGTAGTCCATCTGTTTTTCCCCAGAAGAAATGGGGTTGCAAATTTCTCACTTTTTTTTTTCATTTTGCCAAATTTGTGTCCCAGGAGTAAACTGTAGTTATATGGCAAGGTACTGCAAGGTGATGAGCACCGTGATCCCTGCATAGCAAAGTACTTAAGCGCGTGCTTCAGGTGAAGTCCCATTGAAGTCAAAGTTATTCATGTGTTTAAAGTTAAGCATCTAAGTGCATTTCTGAACTGGGGCCAGGGTGATAAGCACCTTGCCAGATCATGTCCATATTGTACTACTGAAGATGTTTACATTCAAACAGCAGCTAATTTGTAGAGTCAATAAATAAGAAGGCTCTGATCATTTTATTCCAGCAAAACATATATAAATGAAAACCCTAAAATACTGTTTGAAAACAATATACTATTTTATAAAAATACAAACGTGTTTGGTTGAAAGGAGTTGTGTGGTAGTAAGGGAGCACTAATGCACATACTTTGTGCCACTGCTATTGGAAAAATATATTAGCTGACTAAAGAAATTTACACAAGTCCCTTGTATTCCAGGAAAGTGGTAAAGGAAATTCAAGTGAAAAATAAATATGGCCTACAAATATCATAAATGAAAATGGGAAATATAACCAGTGCAACAAAACCTTAAGAATAGATCAATTCAGCAGCCAGTTTATGAATGATGGAAACTTAGGCATGGTCTACACTGGGGCGGGGGGGGATCGATCTAAGTTACGCAACTTCAGCTACGTGAATAACGTAGCTGAAGTCGACGTACTTAGATCTACTCACCGCGGTGTCTTCACTGCGGTGAGTCGACTACTGATGCTCCCCCGTTGACTCCACCTACACCTCTCGCTCCGGTGGAGTACCAGAGTCGACGGAGAGCGTTTGGGGGTCAATTTATCGTGTCTAAACTAGACGCGATAAATCGACCCCGCTGGATCGATCGCTGCCTGCCGATCCAGCGGGTAGTATAGGCATACCCTTAGAGTCTTTGAATACAACTAGACAAAAACAGCCTACGGTTTCTTTTTCTTTCTAAAAATCTGTATAAGATATAAACATCACAATATTGTTTTAAGTAAGTCATCAGCTTTTAATATGTGATAGAAGTAGTATTCAAAGTTTCAAGCTCACTTAACCTCTAGTTATTAAACATGTGTGCAGTTAACTCATACTATGTGGAGTTTTTCAACAGTGTTAAGCAGCAATAGAGAAAAGCAGATAATTTGCATCAAGAAGACAAAATAGACTTGGCCAAACAATCCCAATACAATTCTGCCCTTTGGAACAAAGTCAATCCAATTCCTGGTCTTAAAAAAAATCATAATTGCTGAGATTAAATAAAGTCTCTAGCAGCTCATTAACAGTACTCTGACTTCTCATATCAGTCATCTCACTTTTTAATCACATAATTGATTATATTTTGTGTGTATAGAATAGTAGTTTAATGACACTGAACCAAAGAGATTTTTTTTTCTTTGCTGCAAATGCTGCTATTCATTTGAAGGAATCAGCAGGCGTCATTCACGCAAAAGACTAAAGCAAACTACAATCGTATGAAGTTACAAACTTTTTGTTGAAGGCCTTCTAAAATATAAATCAGGTAGTTCAAATGATATCTGAATGCTTTTATTTATAATTTCATAGCTGGATGTATTGGACAGACTGGGAGGAAGATGAAATAGATGACAGTGTGGGAAGAATCGAGAAGGCATGGATGGATGGCTACAGCCGGCAGATTTTTGTGACATCAAAGATGCTGTGGCCAAATGGTTTAACTCTGGACTATCATACAAATGTATTGTACTGGTGTGATGCCTATTATGATCACATTGAAAGAATATTTTTGAATGGAACTGACAGAAAGGTAAAAGAAAAATGCTGCTGTTTTGTCCACAGGCTTCCCCTTTTCACTGAATCATATTGTGTTGTGTTAAAAATATTTTTCAAAGTTTTTTCCCCTCCGCTCCTGCAAAGCTGCTGTAAGTAGACCCTGTGGGTTGCCTGGCATAAGCTCCATTGAAAACAGTGCAGTTGGCACTCTGCTATAGGAGAACATGGCATGGCCTGACATATTTTTCTTAGCTTTAGAAGCAGTGATACAGAGGTGTTGTTTTTTTTCAATCCAGTTTTCCCATGTAGCAATGAATTGTGCTGTGATTGAGACACCAGGGTACAAGGACTTCCAGTAGAGACAATTTAACACAGTTCCTTCTGGCTCTGCCAGCAGGAGCCTTCTATTGGGCTGACTCGGTAAAACAGCTTTTCATGGATTGCATGGGTCAGTGCTTAGACTCTGTTATAATACACAGGGGAGACACACTAACAAGTCCAGCCACTCGATTATTATTTAGCCAGCTTCACTAGCTAGACACATAGATTCTATGGCCTGAAGGAACCATTATGATCTAGTCTGACCTCCTGTGTAGCACAGGCCATAGAACTTCCCCAAAATACTTCCTTGAGCGTATCTTTTTAAAAAAATCCAGTCTTGATTTAAAAATAGTCAGTGATTGAGAATCCACTATGACCCTTGGTAAATTGTTCCAGTGGTTAATTACTCTCACCATTAAAAATTTACACCTTATTTCCCATTTGAATTTCTCTAGCTTCAATTTTCAGACCTCCTCGATGATGAGTCCCCATTTACAGTTACATTCTGAGACCTATCAGTTAGCCAGTTTTTAATCTATTTAATGTATACTGTGTTAATTTTATACCATTCTAGTTTTTTAATCAAAATGTTGTGTGTGGTACCAAATCAAATGCCTTACAGATGTCTAAGTATTATGTTGGCATTATTATCATTATCAACCAAACTTATAATCACATCAAAAAAAGATATCAAGTTAGTTTGACAGGATCTCTTTTCCATAAATCTATGTTGATTTACATTAATTATCAGAAGGGTAGCCATGTTAGTCTGAATCTGTAAAAAGCAACAGAGGGTCCTGTGGCACCTTTAACACTAACAGAAGTATTGGGAGCATAAGCTTTCGTGGGTAAGAACCTCACTTCTTCAGATGCAAGTAATGGAAATTTCCAGAGGCAGGTATAAATCAGTATGGAGATAACGAGGTTAGTTCAATCAGGGAGGGTGAGGTGCTCTGCTAGCAGTTGAGGTGTGAACACCAAGGGAGGAGAAACTGCTTCTGTAGTTGGATAGCCATTCACAGTCTTTGTTTAATCCTGATCTGATGTTGTCAAATTTGCAAATGAACTGGAGCTCATCAGTTTCTCTTTGGAGTCTGGTCCTGAAGTTTTTTTGCTGTAAGATGGCTACCTTTACATCTGCTATTGTGTGGCCAGGGAGGTTGAAGTGTTCTCCTACAGGTTTTTGTATATTGCCATTCCTGATATCTGACTTGTGTCCATTTATCCTCTTGCGTAGTGAAATAAATGGATAAATGGACACAAGTCAGATATCAGAAATGGCAATATACAAAAACCTGTAGGAGAACACTTCAACCTCCCTGGCCACATTTGTCCTATTTGTGCCTCTCCAGCAGTGTCAAGGGGTTGCTCAAACAGCACAGTTAGGGGTGCTCTTTTCTGCTTTTTCTCCCTCCCCCAACTCCACCACCTGCCCCAGCATAAAGGACATGTTGGGGGTAGGAAAAGCATGGTCATAGAGCCTTGCATCCTACCAATCCTGGGTTAACAGAAAAGCTCCTAGGAAGCCATTGCAGCTGGTAAAGGTTGGACTAGCCTTGAGGTTGCTTTAACTTTTACTGAGGGCTGAATTGGCCTCTGCCCATCACCTAGTTTGGGAGAATGCAATGGAGCATCTCCCTCTGCAGGTCTTGTTCTGAGTATAGCTTGGCTGCACTCAAAGATCTCTCTCATTCTTTTTAAAAGTGTTGTTGATACAATTAAGATTTGGATGAAATGTTTGGTTCTTAAATGGTCATTGGTAATTACCAGGTACACTTACCTTTGTGTTTGGTATTAAGTATTTTAACATTAAATATGGCAGATTATGGACCAAATTCAGAATTGGAGTAAGTAAGTGCCTATTCAGCAGACTTTACACATTTTACTTGTGTGCCAGTACAGTGGGGAATTACAGTGGGTAAAGAAGACTACACAGATCCACCAGTAGGGATGGTTTAAAATTATCTGTTGAAACTGTGTTTTTGTGGAAAATTTAGCTTTTGTCATTGTGAAAATGAATGCCTGAAAATCAAAATGTTTTGATTTGGAAATGCTGCACATGAGAATTGTCATTTGAATGCCTTATCTCCCCATTCTTCTCTATTGGCCAGGCTACCCAGATGAACTACATTTTCTATGAAGCTGGATGGCCAGGGACTTCCATGATGCACTGCTTTCCCTTTCCAAGAAGGGAGACAGTGGTGCATCATGGGAAATGTTGCCCGACAAGGGAACTCAGCCGATAGAGGACAATGGTAGCTTGAGGAACCCAAACTACGATTCTCATGAGGCACTGTAGAGGCATTAACAAAAAAGACATATTTTGGGGTGTGGACATAAATTTTGGTACTTGAATTTCTGCCAAAAGTCAAAATTTTGTGCTGAAAGTTTAGATTAAAATACTTCCCCCCCCCATTTTCATCAAAACTTTACAGAGGAAAAAAACCCATGTTTTTTAACTGCCTCTATATGAGGCAGACCCTCTTATGTGAGGAGCTGCATTTGTCACCAAGTCAGTCCTGAGACTGGAGTAGTGGCTGTGAAGGGAGTTTTACAGCAACTCTTCAGCCTCTGTACTGGAGATAGGATTTTACACATAACTCCAGTGACTAGGAAAGTTGCAGGTATTCATGGAAGATACATTTAATTTGAAAGGTTGCCTTATTTCAGGGACCGTGATGTGTATTCTCCTCCAACTTCAATAACTCAGTTCCATTTAACAATAGTGAAAGTAATGACTGTAGGTCACTGGAAGAAGATAAATAACCGAGTGATATACCAATGCCACCCATAAAGCCACATGGTAGAAACTCAAGACCAAAAAAAAAGTATACATGTGGATTATCAGAGTAGAGCCTCTATTTAGAGTATATTAAAATGTCTGAAAAACATTGGGGATATTGGAATATCAAGTCTATTAGAATCAAACTTTGATTGTACTATATGTTATGAATGAAATCTTTATGTGTATGGACAGAGTTGCTCATTTCTGAGCTTTCTGTCTTCTCTTCCCAAGTCTGACATGTATACTAAAACATTTCAATTCTGACCAATATTCAGTTCACATTATTTAATTGCAGGTAGTCTACAATGGGAAGGAGCTGAATCATCCTTTTGGGCTATCACATCATGGAAATTATATTTTCTGGACAGATTATATGAATGGCTCTATTTTTCAGTTGGATCTGATGATGAGGAATGTAACGCTACTAAGAAGTGAGAGACCACCTCTCTTTGGACTTCAGATTTATGATCGCTACAAGCAGCAAGGTATTGACAATATGTAACTTTTCTACAAGGTTTCACACCAAACAGTATTTCACAATAGTTATGTATACTGAATATTTTTCTCATGCTTCCTCAATGTTTGGAGGAAAACAGCTGGATTCAAAGCCAATGAAAATATTGGGTGATATAAAGATATTTCATGAGGTTTCAGCCCCTTATAGGATCATAAAATTCATCATCTCCTTGTTCCTGCCTGCCAACTACATTGACTCAGAATATTATATCTAGCTACAGTTATTGGATGTGTGTTCACACAGTCTTTCTGGATTGCCAGTTTTTCCATACATGTGAAAGGAATCTTGAAATACAGTACATAATACCTATTTTTTGTTCAATCATATTAAAGTTATTGTTGTAGCTACCTTTTCTCAGTGGCCGGCGAGCCCAGAAACATTTTATGTCTTTTTTCTTTTGTAATTTTCTTTTCCTCCTCCTTGATCTTCATCAGCTCCATTACAGCATAATTCAGTGGCTCAGTCAGCTGAGACTGTACAATGATGCTCTGCTGTGCTGCATTGATTGACCAGTAGGGGGAAGCATACACCACAATTTAAATCAGAGGAGAAGTTTTTCTCCTCAAATAAAAGGTCATAAAGAAAAAAACATGGATGTGGTTCAGATAGTGTGATTCCTAGCTCACTGGTTAGTTTACAATTATGTTCAGTGAAGAAATGACTTGGGTTCTCATTACTTGTCTACAACACAAAGTAGGGATTATTGTAAGAGCAAAATATGAAATACCGACCCAGGCATAGATTTAGTTGGAGCTTAAATAGCAGAAATTCAGATCTGAAAACCCCTCCAAAGGATAGCTACAGTATAACAAAATAACAGTGTCTGGTATAGTTTTAGATACAAATACGAACTTGTGGAACTGTTTGATCAATATATTAAGAATGTGTGTAACGATCTTCAAAAGAACAGAATCAGATAGGGCTATCATTCTTTGTCTGGAATAAAAGTAGAATAATGCTTCCAGTTTCCATAGAAGATCAAAGTCTCCCACGTGGCGGCTCATCTATTTAATCTTTTATATGAGGCACTCAATATAATTTTCAAGCATAACTGAACCTAAAATGAAATGAAATGCTGTAACATTCATCTATGTGTTAAATATCTGTAATATTCATCATATGTTATGCCTATTGATTATTATACTATGCCTCTAAAATAAGCCTTGTTCAGCCGCAGTCAACATATTAAGTTAGTGACTGTCACAGTTATAGGCTGATTGCACCTCTGTCCCTTTACTGGTCTCTCGGAGTATACTGCACCCCCCCCCCAGGTGTTAAGCCTCATGCCTTTACCTGTTTTGCAGTGGAATTTCTTAATCTCGGTATAATGTCCCATCAAACTCAGTTCCTTATTATCATGCAGGTCTGGCTGGACACCTGCATTTTTTCCTTTGGGAGTCTGTGACCAGTGATATAGTGACCAACATCCTTCTTAAAATCAGTATGTTTATTAGGAAATGGAACGAAGCAATAGAGAAAATGATTTAGAAACAGCAAACAGCCTACGAGAACATTTATAGTCTCATCTGATCTTACACTTCACTGCAAGCAAAGTTAGATGGGCTTCCCTCTTGAGTTACAGGAAAAGAACAGATTGAATTTACATTGTTTTAGAAAGTCAGGGCGTTCTCAGGTCCCTTCCTGATACTATTTTGTCTTCCAGAAAATATCTCTCTCATTCTGAGCCACCATTTTCTCAAAGCCCCACTGCCCTTTTGTATGCCGGGGCCCAATTACTGTATTGGTGAATTATTTTTGTGACAGGACACCAAAGTATGAAGTCTCAGACTAGCGTTTCCCAGTCTGCCAGTGAGTCTATCTAAAAGAGGGCCTCTGTGACAACAGCTCCATTGTTTCCATTTAGTCCCATTCAGCCTTAATGGCTTTCAATCACTAGTCCTGTGTGTGTGTGTGTGTGTGTGTGTGTGTGTGTGTGTGTGCACTTAAATTGTCTTTTCCCCTCTGAGACATTCCAACACACCCATTCAGAAATTCAATTCATAGACCATATTTTGGGGTACATTTACTACCAAGTGCCATCTCATTTGTCACACAGTGTTCAAGGCTATCAGCTTTCGCATAACAGTCTACCCCTTAGTCCAGGCACTTTTTCAGGTACTCTGATCCACTCCCAAAGTCATGGACCAAGATGGTTCAAGGCTTTTTCTACTAATGTAGACCATAAAATTGAACACAGTTACCTAAAATATGGATCGAGTAGATTTCGAGTCAGATTTTCAAAAGAGCTCAATGCTAGAGTTGGAACATGGTTTCAAAATAACTTAGCACCCAATTATTTACACTGAGAGCAATGCCAATATAGGAGTTATTGTTTGCTGAGCCCTTTTGAAAATGTGGCTCATCGTTGTTGCATAGTTCATGCTCATGTATGTTGCATGTATGTAATAATATCAATAATTTAAGCAAATAATTGTATTAGGTTATTATCAAGATAAAAATACAATTGTATATTTGATGGATTTATATCTATCTATCCACCTATCTATATCTATCATATGGTATGATACTAAAGCTAGGCTGTTTGGCTTACACATCTTTGACTATATTTGACACCATTAGGCTTGTGGTAAGGCACAAGCCAACATATTTATGCAAATATAGAACTGAAGGAATTGCTAACTAGTTGTAAATACTTCAGTGTACCATTTGAATAAGAGGATTAGCCCAATACATATTACATAATACAACATTTTTATATGTGTACTACGAATCGGATGCAAGGTAACTGTGTCATTATGACTTTAGAACATAGCCCCATTTTTACTGAATTAAAATCCTGCCCTACTTTAGATCTTAAGCAAAATCTCAGTGTAGCAGTTAAAAACTAATGCAAATGTTAAGAAACAGGATAATCATTTTAAAAGCAGTAAATGGGGAGGGGATGTCAGAAAATAAAAGCTGTCTTTAAAACGTTTTATTCTTGAAATGCCTGGTAGCTGAACAGTAAGGGCCTTGGAAACGGTTCACAGCTGATGCCACAGAACAGTCTAATTTCTGCATTGTTCTACTGTTTCATGAGATATTGGCAGCCTAGGAGTCTCTTCAGCAATTCCATTGTCACTCTTTCTTTGACTACTTGCTTAGAATTCATTTAATATGTTTTGTCATTTAGGCTACCACTGATTTAATCCACTGTATTTAATGCTCTATATGCATTGACCTTGAAACCTTTTAATTTGAATCTGAATCTAGCCATTTACTTTAATTCTGGATGTCTGTGTTATGACACCCCACTGGAGTAAAAAGAGCAGGGTTGCAGGTTGCACCCCACTGTTTTGTAACTACCCTTTGGGCTGATCACCCTCCTCGGTGTGATTATCTGAGAAACTCACTCTCATATCAAAATTTTCATGTATTGCTTCTCTTGCATTTTTACAAGCCTTCAAAATGGCGGTATTATTATGGTTCGTATTTGTTTTCAGGACTTTTGATATTTTCTTTGATCTCTGTGTTACTTGGGTTCATTGGTTTGAACAATGAGAGACCCTGTAAAGATTTTGAGAGTCTGTTGGGCTAACATTTCTGAGGTTCTTATGATTCTTATTCAAAACGTGTTCTAATGTATCTGTTCCTCTTTTAGCTGGAAATATTACGAGATTAGGTTGTATCCAGCACTTTTCAGTACTTTGGATTTTGGCTGGTGTAGCTGTAAAAACGGAATAGTCTTTCATGCAGTATTTGGATACTTGTCTTTGAGTCCTAAATACAGCCAAGAGATTTAGACCTTAAGCTTTCTGAATGAAGAACTTGTTTTGGAGGGACTATCAGATGGAGAGAACAGGGTGGATCAGGCCCAGAAAGTTTAAGTATACATTATTTAATTTGTTTGACATTAACCAAACATTTTTCAATCCTCAAAACTAGTTTGGTTCATTTTGATGTTGAGTGACAGTTCTGATAATTTCTGAGGACTTTTGCAATTGTTTATTTAGCATTTTCTATTAAATGCAGAAGTGAAAACATTATTACTGGTATAAGAAGAAAGAAGAATGGAGGGAAAAATATCATTAGGTATAAAACACTTGGCATTTACATCTTTCTAATCCTTCCACAGGAATGGTACATCTTATTGAGCAACTGTCATATTAGGATTTAATCATCACAGTGACCAATGTAATTGGCAGTTTTTCTGGTTCACCTCTGGGATTCTCAAGGAGAACTAATGATACAAAAGAACTTTCTTTCCACCTTAATTTCTGTTTGTCATATATAACTATATTAAAAAAAATGACTGTAGATACTTTGGTTCTTGAGCCAGGGCATGCCATTTGTCAAAACATAGATAAAGGTTAAATCAATGCCAACATTTTTGTCAGCTTTTATTATATCCACTTCTCATTAACTACAATGCCCAAAATCTTACTGTAACACTAATCTGAATTTGGAAGCTTTTTTTTTTTTTCCTATGTTGTCAGCCACCTGGATGCCTTTAATATTGTAGGTGTGATAAAAGAGCTCCATAGGAACTAAATAAGGCAGATATCCTTTGTTAACAAGAATTATACAAGCAAATCTGTTGGTTCAGGGATCATTTTTATTGTCAATGAACTAGCACATCTTACCTGCTCTTTTTTTCCCATGACCCACAGATTGATTTATTATTTATAATCCAAGTTTCTAATTAATTTATTTCCCAGTGTAACACTAAGACAATCCTTGATTGTCATAATTAGTCACAGCAGAAGGATGTTCCCTAATTTGAGACCATAAATCTGGACAAACCTAATTTAATTTTGGAATTTTAGGTTTTGATCAGACAGATTTCAGAACAATATCTCTGGACATTAGAGTGTAAAATTATAACCATATCATGACAGATATGAAGACTAAAAGTAAAAGTAATCATCCTTCTTTGAGTGGCTATGCATATTCACACGTTGGGTTTTGTGCTGCCTACTGTTGCCTAATGGTAGAATGTTCTCCAAGGAGTGTCCGTTAAAGCATTCC